CCCAGCCCCTTTGTGCTTTCTCCGGCGCTGCCCCCATGCCGGGGAGGGGCTCCCCGTAAACATCCCCAGAGCTACCTCCTTGTCCTCCTTCAACCTCTCCTTTGCCGAGAGGATGCCCGACTGCCCCCAGCAAAGCCTGCAGCCTCGGTCTGCGAGCACGGGCCCGTTACCGTTATCTCCCCCGATGCCATGAGGACGGCCAGGTTGGAGACGCGATTGCAGCTGCACGTGGTGTGAGTGGCGCTGCTGCGCAGGACCCCGCACCCTGCCCGAGACCAGCTGCCACGCCGGGCCGTGGCCTCCCACGAGACGCAGATGAGCTCGTCGCGGCTGCTGCTTGGCTGCAAAAAAATGAAATAAAAATAAGGAAAAAGCGAAGAATAGCGCAGGTTGGAAAAAACGTGATACCAGGGACACGGGTCAGGGTCTCCAGGAAAGCACTTGAGGGGCAGACTAACAGAGGCCGTGCGGACCAGTGGACGGGGTATCAGATTGGAACGCAGGAAACCTGAGTTTTAGTCCTGGTTCTGCCACTGGCCTCTTGTGTGACCTTGACGGAGTCATTCTCCTGCTCTGTGCCTCAGTTTCCCCTCCCACCCTTTGTCTAGACCAGAGGTGGGCAACCTATGGCACGTGTGCCAAAGGCGGCATGCGAGCTGATTTTCAGAGGCACTCACGCTGCCTGGGTCCTGGCCACCGGTCCGGGGGCTCTGCATTTTAATTTAATTTTAAATGAAGCTTCTTAAACATTTTAAAAACCTTATTTACTTTACATACAACAATAGTTTAGTTATATATTATTGACTTATAGAAAGAGACCTTCTAAAAATGTGAAAATGTATGACTGGCACGCGAAACCTTAATTCAGAGTGAATAAATGAAGACTCGGCACACCACTTCTGAAAGGTTGCCGACCCCTGGGCTAGACAGACTAAGCGCTTGGCGGCAAGGGCTGTCTCACACGATGAGCCGTTCCTGCCAGAAGGGGGCGCTGATTTCAGCCTGTGCATTAGCACGAATACTGAACAGTAGGGCAGAGAGTTAACAGTCTCTTTACGCCCCCCCACAGAGAGTGGGCCAAAGAACACATATGGGCTGGTTCTGAAGGGCTCCCAGACTCTGTGTCTGCCTTAATGAAGCAGAAGAAAATCTATCCCTGCTGCTAGTATTAACACCTAGCTCTGAAGTGCTTTCCATCCATCAGTCAAGGCACTTTCAAAAAAAAGTCATTACCCCCATTTGACATATGGGGAAACTGAGGCACAGAGTGGGGTGTGGGGGGGACTATCAAGGTCACCCAGCAGGCCAGTAGCAGAACCAGGAGTAGAACCCAGGTCGCCCACTAGTGTGCTATCCATTAGGCCACACTGTCTCCCCGTGTTTCTCTTTGCTCTCTTCCCCTGCCACTCAACCCCAGTACCGGGAAATTTATGTGTCTACTACCGATGCTCGGTTAATTGAGCTGTCCCTTTAGCGGCTGGAGCAGAAATTCAGACTTTTTCATCAAGAGGTCATGACTTCAATCCCCCCCCTTCCCACCCAAGGCAGCACCACACTTGGGGGAGAACACAAGAATTCCTCCCCACTTGAGAGTTAATTCAATGCAGCATCCCTACCAGAGAAGCCAGACTGCTCCTGAAAAAGTCGGAATCAATCCCAGCAGCAGTTCATGGAGGGACATGCAGCCAGCCTTACCATGATGTTCTGGAAGGTGTAGTGGACTGGATCCGGGAAATCAGTCTTGGTCTCGCTGGTCAGGAAGGCACTCACAACCCTGGAATTTATCCGGACTGGCAAGACAGAGGTGTCCCTTTGGCCATGGAAGAAGCTGCCATTCAGGATGGACTCCAGGCCCACGTAGGAGGCAAACGCCACTCCAGCCCGGGCTGCAAGTATCCCCAAGGAGAAACCAGGTGTTAGCGGCTTTTTTTTCCCCACCTGGCCCACGGACACG